TTGTCGACTGAAGAAGAAAGAAGCAGTGCAGCATACTTCTCCACCAACAACCGTAATGAATCCATTTAATTCACTCCAATTCACCCAACATACACGTCAAATTACATCATTATATCTAACTGAATAGATATATATTTTTTTGCGTGAATATTTTAAAGAATTAGAACATATACAAAAATTCAATGTATATGGAATTAATGTTGATTTTTTTTAGGCAATACAATCAACCAGAAAGAGATTATGAAGGCTCTGAAACCAAATGTTAGATATACAATAGTCTAACTATAATAAACATAGTATACGAGAAACCTGACCTCGTATGATAGCGGAAGCGTAGCCGTGTTGATCTCCAGCCATAGTTGATGTTCCTGTTATGTTGCCTCTTAACGGTAGACCGTCAGCCATGTTTTGTCTCAGACCTGATTCAGAACCCTAGATGGTGTATTGGTATCTACTGAGCGGTCTGAGTACCATAACTGAATGTGCTATCTAATCCATAATCCTGTATCCCATCAATCCAGGTTATATTAGGCACAGAGTTTGGTTGACTAACAAATACTAGTTATTAAGTCCAACCAGACCACTTAATAAGCCTAGTCAACTTGCACCACTTAATTAAGGCCCTAATATATAATATACAATATATATTATTAGGGAAAATCTTACAGTATGTTCATTAGATGAAGAGGAACCACTTTCCACCACATTATTCTGAATTTTGCCATCGGTTTTTTTTTCTTCTCTATAACTTGTTTTAAAGCCGAATCCTTTTTCTAATTTTTTTTTTTTTGCGCTAGCCTTCTCAACCGCAGCTTTCGCTTCTCATTTAACTACAAAGTCACCAAAAAATAGTGAACTCGGGTAGTATCCCCTACTGACTCTGTAACCATTGCATCGCACAAATAACAAAAATCATGCCTGGAAATAAAATATATAAACAATATTACAAAATTATTGTTTGAAACAAAGCAATAATACAAAAAAAAATACATATAATACAAAATTTAAAAAAATAATAATAATTAAAAACTATGGAAGATCAATTACAGACAAAAATAATATGAAAAATATACTTTTCTAAAAAAATTAAACCTTTCTGCATCGGCTTAGTCAGAGCAACTACAGCTGGTCTAAAGTGGCATTGACCTGGACAAATCCATAATAAAGAATGTAAATGAAAAAATAATAACTTTTTTTCACAGAGATAAAAATAGCTAAAAGAGAAATTGTACCTTTAATGCATTGAAATATACATATTAGTTTGAGCAACTATTGAACCACAATGATTAAATTGGTGATGAGAGAGTCACCTGCAAGGGAAAAGAAGAATGCAATGTAAAATGAAGAGTTTAATTTTTTTTAGTCATCTCATTGTATTTATACGTAAAAAATATGAGAATTATAAATTTGTAAGATTTTTCAAAAAAAAATTGTATTTATTTATTTAAGGTATTGCCATAATTAATTTATTATATTGATATTCTTAATTAAGTCATTATATTGATATTCCTAATTAATTTTATTCTTAATTAATTCACACGTACCAATCCCAAATTATTCTTTCCATAAACAACATAATATATATGAATTTACATAAATGACCCTAAGTTTTGAGGGGAAAATTGGTTTGGAGGATTTTACTTTTATATATATATATATATATATATATATATATATATATATATATATATATATATATGTTTAGTGGGTTTAAACGTGTTTCGTGTCATATCATGTCGACACGGCGTGAAACCTATTAACAAAACGTATCTATCGTGTCAACTCGTTTAACCCGTTAACAAATCGTGTTCGTGTACGTGTTATAGATTTGAACCTGTTAATCTTATCGTGTCGTGTTTGTGTTTATCCTTATCGTGTTCGTGTCATTATCGTGTCGACCCGTTAACGAACCCGTATACACGAATTGCCAGGTCTAGACTATCCGGTAGATTGTTTGTTACTTGTTTTAACCAGAAAAACATTGTTGTTTTCTCTCTTCTTCTCTCAACTTTTATCTTACGAAAAATTCTGCCCACATTTTCGATAAAAAGTCGAAGTGCTCGCCTGTTATTCTAGTTCGCCAAGTTTATTCGTTTGAGTGCTCAAACGTTAAATCGTAATCCGTTTTATCCTGGGAAACTAACGCTACAATGCTCTTAGCACCATCGGGAGGTAGCAGATCGGTTTTAAGGAGAGTGTAAGTACAAATGATTCAGATTTCTCCTCCTACTCTTGATCGTTGGATTTATATTCTAATTTATAAAATCCTCATTCCGTTTTTATTTATTTTGTATAAATAAATTCGAACCTGCTAGTTTCATACTAGTTTGCGGTTGGGATTATTTTTGTAAAATTATGAGTCCCTATTTTCATTATATATATATATATATATATATATATATATATATATATATATATATATATATATATATGTTAACTACAAACATACTATATGTTAACTGCATATACATACTATATTAAGTGTAGTGGGCATATAATTATTAATTGAACGTACATAATATGTTAACGAATTCAGTTCTCGTGCAGTTGGGTGTCTCCCGTGCGGTTGTGCGGTTAAATCTGAGCCATTGATCTTGCTTAAATCAACGATCAGGATGAATAAAATTTTAAAAAAAAAAATTGCGGTGACAATTTGGTAATTTTTGCATCTAGGTCAAATTTAAGCTGTGTGGTTTATGTGCTCAAGTTGAGTAGTTGAAACTTAAGGTGCGTGGTTTTTCCTTCTTAAGGTGCGTGATTTGTATGCTTAAGATGCGTGAGTTGTTGAAACTTAAGGTGCGCTATTTTAAAACCTTAGGTGTGTGGTTTGTGTTCTTAAGGTGCGTGGTTTGTGTACTTAAGGTGTGTCGGCTTAAAGCTTTAGGTGCGCGCAGTTTGTGTTCTTAAGTTGCTTTATTTGTGTGCTTAAGGTGCGTGGTTTGTGTACTTAAGGTGCGTGATTTGTGTTCTTAAGGTGCTTTGTTTGTGTGCCTAATGATATGAACCTAGTCCAAGGTTCAAATAAAGATGGAATATTGTCCCAAGAATGCTCTCAAAACTAAAGATAGGGATGGATCAAAATACCTTAAACCTCACGGGAAATCCTTTGTCTCGAATCCTCAAAGACTTGGAAGAATCCCATGTAGCTTCAAGTACCTCGATGTTGCAATCTTCAATCAACTAGAGTCGGATCTAGTTTCCTTCGATTCAAGAACGAGTCCACGAACCTAAATCTAAGGTTGAAGAAAGGAAGATTGATTCGAGTCCACGAATCAATTTGCTAGTCGAGTCCACGACTAGCCACTAATTGAGTCCACAATTAGCCATAAGGTTTCTTACACAAGTGTAAAGAAAAACTTAAGAATTTTATTGATTTCAAGCCTGATCAAACTGATATGGATGTGCCCTATTTATAGGTATAGGGCAGCATTGTTATCCTAAATACAATGGGATAAGAGTCCTAAACCAAATCTAGAAAGCAAGTAAATATAGTCCTATTTAGAAAGGGATCTAAGGAATCCTTTCTAAATACAAACTAGTGTTTTCTCTTTAATTCCAAAAATTTTAAAATAATGATGACCACAAATAATAAAGCTGATTTGGGCCTTAGATCTTGTGATTTGTCCAATTTGTACTCTTAATGGATCTTCCTTATGTTGGGCCGCATCACCTAAGGTGCGTGGTTTGTGTAATTAAGGTGCTTTATTTGTGTGCTTAAGTTGCATGGTTTGTATACTTAAGGTGCATGATTTGTGTTCTTAATGTGCTTTGTTTGTGTGCCTAAGGTGCGTGGTTTGTATAATTAAGGTGTTTTATTTGTGTGTTAAGGTGTGTGATTTGTGTACTTAAGGTGCATTAACCGCACGAGAAGCTATACCCGCACCTGAACCCTTCCCATATGTTAACTTCGTGCACATAATTTGAATGTCGTTTTAGACCAGAGTCCATAATGCAAGGTGAACCCTGGTCCATGGTAAAACAGTTGATAACGGCAAATTATATCGTGCACCAGGGCGCACAATGCATTGTGCGCCCTAAGAGTTTATGTGAATTATGTTAAAAGTTTATGTGTATTATGTTAAAAGTTTGTGTATTATGTTAAGAGTTCATGTGTATTATGTTAAGAGTTTATGTGTATTATGTATTATGTTAGGAGTTTATATGTATTCTACTATACAAATGTAATATGAAACATGAGATTTTTAAGGTGCACGATGCATTGTGCGCCCTGGTGCACGATATAATGGCCCGTTTGGTACATTGTAATTTGATTGTAAAGAAATTGAAATTCAATGAACAATGTAAATTACATTGTTTGGTTCCCTCCTTTTGTTGAATTGCAATTCATGGGGTATCCCCATGTATTGCAATTCAATGGATTTGAGGAAGAAAAAATAGATGAAATGACATTACTATCCTTACTATTATTATTACACAATGGTATTTTAGTCTTTATATTACTTCTTTCCTTCTCAATTCCAATAATCTAATTCTCTCTTCTAAACAACGTAATTTGAATTCTTACTTTATTCTCACATTATTCCTTTTCTACCGAATTACACAATTCTTTTCCTTCATAATTCATTCCTTCCAACAAAACGCACTATAGAATCAATTGATGCAAAGGAAAGTTGCAAGTGTAGTATCAGCCCAATAGAAATCATTAAGTATAACAAGACAAACTAGCATGAAAGTAGTCATCAAAGTCCAGGGCCCACTGATTATGATTTCATTGTCACTTTCTGCTTTTTGTTTTGTACAAAGACAAAAAATCCTAACAGACTCCTGTTTCATATAATCATATGTAAGCCTCCATGGCTAATTAGCTATACTCTAAGCTATTGATTGCCCATTTTGCCCATTGGATTTTCTAGAGTACAAATATGATAAGTTAATCCTCCATTTGGTAATTGTAATTTGTTCAAGTGAAAGAAATTTGTTTATTGATACTAAATAAGAGTTGGAATTAAAATAAATAAATACATAAATATATAGAAGACTTTTGGTTCAAACTTTGAATTAGAATCAAATACTTGATAGTTGTAATAGGTTCAATGACTACGCAATCTGTATTCCCTTTATGGTTGGAATGAAATAAGAAATTCTCAGTATACCAAGATCTGTTAGTACAATTCCATTTTGAGCCTGATCTTATATACTTTGTTATTTCATTCACAGAAACAGCAGAATGGTATATTCTCACCAATATACCATTTTTCTACTCAAGAAATTTTCTTTTCTTTCCACTCTTTAATGTCAGCATCTATCTTTGCTTTGACTTTGGCATGGAAGCCAGGATAAGGCTCATAGCCAAACAAAGATTGCAGCACCTGCAAGAAAATCAGAATTCTGTGTGTAAACAAACTAGGAGAACCATTGCTTAATATATATAAAAATAATAAATGTGCACTTCAACTATCAGCTTACGCTTTTATTTGAGACAGAACAGATTAACTCCATCTCAACTAAAAGACTAAACTAATACTTAGACGGTATATTTATTGTTTATACATAGGGAAAACTACATATTTGGTCCTTCAGTTACACCCGTGGTACAGAGTACAAACTTAGTTCTTGAGTTATATGTGTGACCATCTTTAACACTTAAGTTAGGTATGTATGAAGTGACAATTTTAGTCCATCGGAGACTATTTCTGCCACCAATATGTTACTTAATAAAGTGACAGAATGGTCCTTCAAGGACTAAACTCGCCACTTTGTGCATAACTTAAGGTTAAAGATGATAAGCATATAACTACTAAGTTTATACCACGGGTATAACTGAATGACCAAAAATGTAATTTTCCCATAGATATTATGCTTTGACATGAGAATTTCTGTGGTTACCTCCAACAGGACAAAGAAAGGTGCCATAAGTAATGCTTGTGTAAGATTGTCCAGTAAAGCAGGGGCTCGCTTCTACAAGATTGAAAAAGGAAGATTGGGAGTGACACAACTTGAATGGCATGTAGAACTAAAGGCATAAAAAATAAATTAATTAGTAAATAAAGCTCATCACCTCAAACATTCCATGACCTATAAACTGGCTTGTCCAGCAGATCAACTGAGCAGCAAGAGCGACCTGGCTATTTGTGTGTCATATTAGCATATGGATGGTTAAAAGCTCAAGAACATATACTTTGTTGATTTAGCTTTGTAGGCCAGAAAACAAATCAGTATAAAATTATATCTAAATATAATTGAACACAAATACAAGTTTATTCAGTATGCATTTTCCTACTTCATTCATGTAATCTAAACTTATTACGGAGTACATATTTAGGTAAAGATCCTACTAAAGGCAGTATTTCTAATGGAAAAATATGTGGGGCTCAGGTTTTGATAATAAAGCTTATGATTATTTATTCTCTCGATCAGCTTCCTCATAGCATAATGAGTCTAACATATTGACCCTATTTGGTAACATAATTAGCTTATCAGCCAATTTTGGCTTATTTGACCACTATTAGCTGTTTGACTTGGTTAAACAATCAATATGGGTGTTTGATTAATTAGTTTTTTGTAACAACTTATTACTCCAAAATGCTAAAACTAAAAAAACTGCTCAAAGTAGCTTTTTCGATCAACTTTTTGAGAAAGTCATTTTGCATGTAATTAGCTATCAGCTAACAACTAATTTACCAAACATCTTTCTACAACCAGCTACTGCTATCAACTACTCAAACCCACTAACCCAATCAGCTAACAGCTATTTACCAAACACCCCCAATTATTTTTTTTGATTTCTAAGGATTTGTTGTTGTCATTGGTCCTCCCTTTCTCTCGGTTGCAGAAACAGTACTTTGAATGGATCATACTGATGTCCTAGTGCAGTTTACAGGCACATATGACTCATACGAGGAATTCAAGGAAATTCCAAATCGCTAGGAGGAAACCAAATACATAAAGACATAGAACTTAATATACCAAATACATAAAGACATAGAACTTAATATTGCGAGACCTTCACAATTATTTGCTACTACTATTTAGAATAGAAGCCTCAGGGTCTTACTCAAGACAAATGATCCAAGCAATAATATCAATAGTTGGATCGATATCAACATGTAATGGAATGCTTGATACTCGTTTCTATAAAAACATTTGCAAAACGAAGAGGCACTAACATGTGAACATTGGTCAAGGCAAGATATGATGCATAAAAACCATACACAACTCATAATATATTGCAGAAACGTATGCGCTTTTGCTGTGATATGTTTTGAAACAATTTCAGTTACAGTGTAGTAAGGAAGAAATCTAGCAAAGCCTCTCTTGATCTCTTGGATGGCTATATGGAAATGCCGAAATGGCACAAAAAATATTCTCCTATCTGTTACATATGATGTGTCTAAAATTTGTTTCATCTTTTGAGTCAGTCAAGATGCATTTAACATATGTTCTCACTTCTGTGTTGAACATATAATATATAAACATCAACTATCAGCTTAGTCTTTTAGTTGAGATAGAGCAATCCTTCAATTTGGTATCAAAGCCTATACCAAAGTCATGGGTTTAAATCTCGGCTAACCCGATAAAAAGAGACTACATTCCATGTGTTACTTGGTCTTAGTCTAAAGCTCTTTAATCTCCTTTAGAATAGGTTGCTTTGTTGTAGCTATCTTCTTTCCCCTGCTTTATTCTTCTATTTATACTCTAGTATCTTGGACTTGTGAATATAAGTTTTATCAGTTTCTATATGGTAACAAAGCAACCTATTCTAAAGGAGATAAAAGAGCTATAGTCCAGGCCAATAGTTAGCTTATCAGCCAATTCTGTATTTGATTAATTAGCATTTAGCTTATCAGCCAATTCTGTATTTGATTAATTAGCATTTTATAACAGCTTATTGCTCCAAAATACTAAAATTCAAAAAACTTTTTCGATCAGTGTTTTTAGAACACCATTTTTCATGTAATCAACTATTAGTAAGAGCTAATTTATCAATCACTTTTCTACAATCAGCTAATGTTATTAACTAATCAAACTCACTAACTCAATCAATCAAGTAATCAACTATTAGCTAACAACTATTTACCAAACACTCTAAATAAAAACACAGCCTTTATTGAATATACTAAATTATACAGAAGGGGGAAACTTTACCTTCCAAGCGAGGGAGAAACCCAGATTATGAGCAAGAGAACTGCTAAAAACCCAGCAGAGGAAACATAGCAAGGCAGCCAAAGATCCAGCTTTATTGTCCAAAGCCACATAGAAAATCCCATAAACCAAGGTGAACAAGAACCCATAATTCAGGACGAGGATGGTGTGGTCACAGAGCTGAATCGGAGAGGCGTTCAAGATTGGAGGTGTGAAATACAAGGGAATCAAAGCCGTGAAAAGAATTGGCCAAACAAACACCACGTGAATCAACACATTCACTGGATTGCTGTGGTATGCGCCATAGAATGCGAAGTGTTTCTCCAAATCCAACAATCCCATCTTTGCCTTTTGGGGATTATTTGATGAATTTAGAATGAGTCTACCCTCTTTTCTTGAATAGGGACTTTGCGAAGACGAGAAGCGACGAAAAAATTTAAGGAAAATTGGTAAGCAAGGCTGACGCTAATTCCGAATTGATGTCTTCGAGAAGAATGGGCGGTGGCTGGGGACCTCTGCCGTAGGATTAGCTTGATATTGATACGCTGGTTGGATAAGATTAAAAAAAAAAAAATGTTAAGATAGTGGTAAAAAAATAGTAAATTATCGAAATGGTTCCTTGACTATAACAAAATTACTAATTTGGTCCTTGATTATTTTTTTTGACCAATTAAGTTCTTCAATTTTAAAAATTTTAATCAATTTGGTCCTCCGTTAGTCAACCGTTAACTTGGGACCAATTGGTAATTCGCTATAGTCAAGGGATCATTTTGGTAATTAACTTTAAGGTGGACAATTCGATTCAGTTTTCTCGAACCGAACCGTAACAAACTAGTTAGATTCGGTAATATACCGAACAACCGAACGGTAATAGATTCTTGTATACCGAACGGTTTGGTAAAAATTTGACCCGAACTGAATTGTTCGGTAAAAATCAAACCGAACCGAATATCATTTGAACTTTGGATTGCTATTTTGTTATATATTAGACTTTGGATATGGACTATGTAAACACAATAACACATAATATAGAACTTTGATAACAAACCATAAAGAAATCAAATAAAACATTTACGAGAGATACTCGTGAGAATATGAGCTGAACGGCAGAACAAGCAGCAAGGGACTTAGATTTATTTATTTATTTATTTATTTTTATTATCATTATTATTATTATTATTATTATTATTATATTTTTAAAAAAAAAATTAAACGGTATTCAGTTTAGTTCAATTTTTTACCGAACAATTCGGATCGGTTTTTTATCGAACCGTTCGGTATACAAGAATCCAATACCGTTCGGTTGTTCTGTATATTACCGAATCAAACTAGTTCGATTCGAGAAAACTAAACCGAATTGTCCACCCTTAAAGTTAATTACCAAAATGGTCCCTTGACTATAGCAAAATTACCGATTTGGTCCCAAGTTAACGGTTGACTAACAGTCAAACAAACGGAGGACCAAATTGGTTAAAATTTTTAAAGTTGAGAGACTTAATTGGTTAAAAAAATAGTCAATGACCAAATTGGTAATTTCGCTATAGTCAATGGACCATTTTGGTAATTAACTCTAAAAAATTTAATTCGATAGAAAATTAGGTAGATAAATTCAAAATTGATAAGTCTAAATAGGCTATTGAGGTAGTTTCAGAATAGTCGAAAAGTAAATCGCAATGACTCAATATTTCATATTGTGCCCTAATAAGATAATAGAAAGGTAATTTGATAAAATAGTAAAAAAATAAAGGGAAAATGACACTTTTTCCCCTGAGTTATATACTTATAGCACTTTTTCTCCCTGAGTTGTTTATGTAAGCACACTAGCCCCCTCAATTATTCTAAAAGTGGTAATTTCCCCCCCTAATATATTAAATTGACATTCCTACCCTTAAAGTAAACATTTTATTTATTTTTATTCTTCAACAAATTATTGCTTATACGTAGGGATGACCACAGTTCGATTCGAACTGAACCGGACCCTATAACAATCGAATTGAAAGTTTCCGGTTATGATTCAGATCCAGAATCCAATATTTAGATTTCAATTCATTAAAATTACGAATCAAAAAAATTGGATTCTGAACCGTGAACCGGCGGTTCCGGATCCGGTTGGTGATTTTGAATCGTCTTTATTTTAACATTTTATTTTTATTTTAAAATACTCTAAATTCAACAATAAATGTAATTTATTTTTTTCAGTTCGGAACATGAACCGGCCATTCCGGTTCGCGATTTTAATAAACTCTAAATATCAAGTTTTGATTCTAAATTGTAATTGGAATATTTCAGTTTAGTTGTTATAGTGTCTGTTCAGTTTGAACTGAATCGTGGTCATAATTTGTTGGAGAAGAAAAATAAATGAAATATTTATTTTAAGGGTAAATATGTCCATCTAACATTTTAGGGGAAAAAAGAGCCACTTGAAAAATTCAGGGTGGAAAAGTACTATATGTATATAACTAAAAGGAAAAAAGTGTCATTTTTCCAAAAATAAATCATAATAATTCAATATCTCAGACCTAGAAGAGAGCAGAGGCTCGGCTCAGGTTTTCAGACTCACAGCCCGCTCTAATAAAATAATGGAGAAGTAATTTGAAAAGATAATTGAGAAGTAAATCACAATGACCTAATAAATTATTAAGGCATTTTTATCAGTAGTCTTTTCGTGATATTGTGGGTTAAAGTTGAGGTGAAAAAGAGAGAAAGCGGAGGGAGAAAGTAAAATGAACTTGCACTGCAAAATGAGCCCACCAAAAGAATTAAAATAAGAGTTAATTTCACCGAAAGTCCTTTGTCTTTGGTGGCAATTTCAAATTTAGTCTCAGATTATCATTTTGTCATTTTACATCACAGACTATTATTTTTTGGACATTTTTAGTTATTCTTGTGATTTTTTCTATTTTTAGTAAGGGCATTTTTATCACTTCATATTATTCTTTTGTTATTTTTCTAGTTTCAACTGGTTTAATTGGTTTAGAACTTTAGATAACCTCTGATTTTTAGTAACCATATTTTTCAATCGATTTTTATTAAAGTTCTAAATCAATTAAATCGGTTGAAATCAAAAAAAAAATAACAAAAGAAAAATATAAATAGACAAAAAATGTCCTTACTAAAAATAGAATAAATCATAAGAAGGACCAAAAGTGTTCAAAAAACGATAATCTGGGGTGTAAAATGATAAAAACAATAGTCTATGACTAAATTTGAAATTGCCACAAAAAACAAGGGACCTCTGCTGAAATTAACACTTAAAATAACTACTGCAGGTGCACCCTCTTTTATTTTATTTTTATTTTTTCTTTTAATTCTGACAAAAACCATTCAAAAAATTCAAACAAATGAGTTCACTTGGGAGGATATTTAAGTCTCTTCTTTGTTTTATAAGTGGTGCGAAACAAAATATTCATGAAATTTATATTTATACACATATTTAATTTTTTTATTAAATTTGTAAATAAAATTTTAATAAATTCATTAATAGATTTATTACTACGTAATTTTTTTGTGAAATAAATAATTAAAAATTAAAAAATGATTACAATCGAAAAAAAAAATTATTACAATCATTATATTATAGCATAAATATATTAGTTATTTCTAGTTGGAATGTAAAAGTAGAAAATACTATATGGACTCTCATTTTTTATTGTCAACTTTTATTCTCACACTCAATTTAGAATAAATTACTAATTTAAAGTGTTAATTTAAAAATGTCAAAAATTTTAATTAAGTCCACTGGATAAGCCCAATGGTCCGTGATTTTAAAGTTAAGGTCAAGAATTTCAAACTTGATTTAAATTTTAAAAAAAAAAAAAAAAAAAAAAAAAAAAAAAAAAAAAAAAAAAAAACTGTAAGCCTCACAACTTTAATTGAGGTAACTCAAAACCGAGCAAGCTAATCTGATTGACATTTTCTAACCACAAGTGACTCGTTTTTGGTGATATTTATCAAGTTTCGCGAAAGGCATCCAAATTTCAAACTTCGATGCTTTAACTCCGATGCTTTAATTTTTTTATTTTATTTTTTTTACTTTTATATAGTATTTTATTATTATTTAAAATTTGTGTTGTGGTTAATTGTAATTTTGAAATGTATAGATTTTATGTATTAATACTAACTTTAATTTTTGAAATACAAAGAGCCAATAACACCTCTACTGAGGCTCAAACTCACAACCTCTTAAATGAAAGTCCAAATCGAGTACAATTAGACCACAAGGTCTTGATAATACTACCTTTAATATTATTAAAATTTAAATTATAAATAACATCAACTTAGCCCTTTTAAGAGTGATACATAATATGAGATTGAATGAGTAGTCATTATATACAATTATACATTTTTCTTCTTCTTTCAAAAGGTTGAATCCTCAACCCTAAGGATCTATCACACACCGACCATATAGCATTTGAGAGGATGTAAATCATTGAGGTAGGTCAGAGCTAAGGCTGTGCACTGCCATCGCCGAAATTTAAACTTTAATCTCTTCTTTCAAATACTACTTACTAAATCATTGAGATAAGTCCGTGTGGGCTACAATTATACATTTTTACAGTGTAAGAATGGGATTGATTGAGTAGTAATTATTTTGAATTATATGCAAATGAGAAATGACTCTTATCTGCTACTGCAAAATGGGAGAGTGGTTACAAATGGTCACCTTATCCCCCCCTAACTTTAAAAATAAATATAAATAATAAAAACAAACAAAATGCTAAGCTTTCTACAGACCAATCCTTTCACAGCACGGAAAAATGGCTGAAGCTGTGATGAGCTTCACGATTATCAAACCAAGAATTCATAACCCCTCTCTTCATTGTCCATCAAAACTTCCTAAACCAGTAAGTTTTCCTCACACACACCTTCAGTTCTGGTGATTTTCCATTATCCCTATTATTATTATTATTAATCTTTATTTTCCTCTCTGATATTCCAGCTCGGGCAATGCTTAAATTCTGCCTTTAGCCCTTGCAGTAGTTACCAGGTCGGTTGAAGCATTTATTTCTACCCAAATAAAAGATTATATTTGGTTTGCTTTACAAAGATTCTAAGTTGTAAAGCTTTTAAGCAAAACTTTCTTAATCTCAATATTTTTGTAAATATATATATACCAAAAAATTCATTATATTATGGCATGTATAGTAGAGAGGTGCCCACATGGGCAGCTCTCGGTGGCAAGAGTAAAGTTTAGAAAAAATAATCCGAGATTGAATCTCATCAGCGACTGTATGAGAGGAATCTCTTAAAGTAAGGGATCATGATTTACATATTTTCATATGTTCTATAGGGCTAGAGCGTGCGGACAATAATTTTAATCCGATCGACCAAACAATGAAATTTAAATTCCTAGTTTAATTTATTCATACCTTATTTCTTTTCCACGAAATTACAATTCATTTTTCCTCCTAATTCCGTCATTGCAACCAAACGGTCTGATTTTGTGTTTTCCATATATATTGTGAGTGTATAGATTGAAGGTGGGGGGAAGAGCAGAAGGGGTTGTAGAACAAGAGTGAATGCATTCCCAGGTTTGCAATTGATGGCAGTAATGGTTGAACACTTGGATGGCCAAAGGGACCTCGTCACTCACAAGTCTGTTTGGCATCTAAGTGATGCAGCCATAAAAAATGTTTGTGAGTATAATCGAATTATCAATTTAAATTTTTATTTTAGATGAATTATATGCTTTAATTTGTTATCAAAAGCCTATTTCACGTATTGCTTGAAACCCGTCAAGCACAGTATACATGGAGAGTGTGTTGAACATATCATATATAAACATAAGTTTGCAATACAACTTTAATTGGGATGGAACACATGCTTCGGTTATTTTACCTTTAATTTTTTTTTGAAAACACTTTACCTTTAATTAATAATTCATTGTGGTATCTATCACACCATTTCTTTTGTATTTTCAAAACTAAAATTTATTTTTCTTGATGTATTGTTAGACTCATTTTACATCATGTTCACTATTTGGGGATGCTGCTTCTTTGGTTCTACTAAAGTAAGCGCTTGTAAATTCTTAAATTGCCACCCATAATGACAAATTAAAGTTGTAATTAATTGTTTTTCTGGATTTTTGTTGTTTTTACTAGGATCCCTACTATGATTCAGAGCAGTATAGAGGAGATGGTGGGGATGGTACTGGACATTGGATCTATGATAAGGTATACACATTCTTCTTTATGTCAATGTTTCAGAAGGCGCTAATAAGACATTTGGGGTGTGCCTAGGCGATACCTCCTAGGCGGCCCAGTAATTAAGACATGTGAGTTGTTAGACTATAATCCCACAAACTAGTCAATTACATATGTTAGATGGTTAGTTCAGTACATGACTAGAGAAATATAGAAGATGAGCAACCAAGCAGGTAAAAAAAATGACTTGACCGAGTTGAGTATTGACTAGATTGAGTTGGGCGCCAACTTGACCGAGTTAGTCGCCCAACTCAAGCGCTTAGGGCATCAAGTTGACCAATTAGTCAGTCAGCTGACTAAAAGCCGCCTAAGGCTGAATCGCCTCGGCCTAGGGATGCATAGACCGATTTTTACAACACTGTTACTTTATGTTTATTAAGTAATTAAATATTTATTTTAAAAAAAATTAACTTTTGATACATTTATGTGTATAGTGCCTAGTTTATTATCATTAAACAAACAACTCGGCTAATCTTCATTATGATGAAATGAGTTTATCATTGAAGAAATTAAAATTCTTTTTTCAATTTTACAATTATTGTGTGATTGGCACATTTAATCTTTAATTTTTAATTTGATTAAATTTAATCTCAGATTTTGTTATCGTTGTCACTTTCTGTCCTCCATTATAATTTTCATTCAATTAACTTTAAATTATAGAACTATTTAGTAAGTTTATAGTTTTAATATTCTATTCCTACTTAATTAAAATTGTTCATAAATAACAAAATAAATAATATAATATAGTTATATATAACCAACATGGTTGGTGTGGTGGTTTAGTACTTTGTCTCTTAAGCATGAGATTGGGGGTTCAATTTCTACCCATGTGAATGGATGAATACCTTTGAGCAACCAAAAAAAAAAAAAAAGTAATGTTATATATTCCTAATTTATTTTTCTTACATTTTTTTCTCCTGACTTAACAACATTTGATTGGTTTAAATCTCTTTTTTAATTAGTGATTGATTAGTATATTCATGGTTACCCAATGATATGATTGGGAGCCATATTATGAGGGAAAATATGTGAGGAGAAATTTAGGAGGTGTAAGAAGTATTTTTCTTATATAAATTAGTCCATAATGTTTATCAAGTTATTATTTATTATATCGTTTATGAATGTTTTCAACAAGAATCTAAAAACATAATAAGTCTCAATCAAGGTTATATCATTGATTTATGTCCCTCTTTTTGCATGCTAATAAATGTGTACATTTTACTTTAAATGTTGTACATTTCAATGTTATTAGACAAAATTACCTTTACACCGTTATAACAACGTTACTTTTTAATTCTAGCATTGATAATTATTACCATACACTCATATCTATCATATCTTTTTTCTATTTTTTAATTATCATTTATTAAAATTATTATATAATTAATTTAATGCTTGATTATATTTTAATTAAATTTTTATGAATGATAAATTATATATGTGTGTGTACAAAATACATATATTATTTGTGTATATATAATTCGAATTATAATTTTTAATTATTTGTATTTATCAATGTTTTAATATTAGACATTAATTTTCACGCATCGCGTGTACAAAATGCTAATATAAGAATAAGATTGTAAAAGTTACAAAATAGTCTAAAAAATAAAGTTAATTGAATGAAATTTGTAACAAATGATCAAATATGACACCTTTGATAAGATTAAATGTGATCAAATTAAAAGTTGTAAAGATTAAATGTGAAAAATATTGTGGATTAAATGTTTAGAGTATAAACTAAATACGGTAATAATGTCACAATAATGATAAAATTAAATGTTTAGAGTATAAAAGTTGTGTCAAACACGTCCAGTTGACACCTCTATAATTTTCTTAGAATCGAATCTCGATGGTGGGTATTAAATCTTTGATCTAAATCAGATAGAAAAAGTATAATATGAGATACCACTTATAATAGAGTCGATAGCATTAAAAGAAGAGTATAAAAGTTGTAAAGCATAAATGTGAAAAACATTGAGGATTTGTGGGGGTATTGCAGCAAGAAGACATTGAAGAAAGATCTCGGGCGGAGCTATGGCGTGAGGAGCTGATAGAGGAGATAGAGCAGAAGGTTGAAGGGCTACGAGAGCTAGAAGAGGCTAAGGAAGAAGAGCTTGTCAAATGATCATTTGTTTGACATTATATTGTAATTTTAATTTCCAGAAACATGTATATGATGATGCTACAATCTTCTGTCCTCTCATTTACCTATATTTCCACAAACATATACTGAAATGCAAATGCAATACACCACAGGAAAACAACCAGAGTCCAGGCTATAGTATTTATATGTTATTATGTGTGTTTGTGTGTGTAAACCGACATCGTTTTCGTAGTGGCCGGATTAGCAGAGTGGATCAAATGTAATGGATTTTAAGAAGACAAATCCACATCCAATCCACCAATTGTAAATTTTCACTTAGCATGTTTGTGTCCTATCAACTTTTGGTAGATGTAGATGGATTGGAGTGGATTTAGTTGATCCATTCTCACATCCTGCCTCAAATATACTCCAAGACGAAGCTAAGGATGTTAGATCTAAATAGTCTAACTATAATAAACCATAGTATACGAGAAACCTGACCTCGTATGATAGCGGAAGCGTAGCCGTGTTGATCTCCAGCCATAGTTGATGTTCCTGTTGTGTTGCCTCGTCAGCCATGTTTTGTCTCTGACTCAGAACCCTAGATGGTGTATTGGTATCTACTGAGCGGTCTGAGTACCGTAACTGAATGTGCTATCTAATCCATAATCCTGCATCCCATCAATCCAGGTTATATTAGGCACAGAGTTTGGTTGACTAACAACTACTAGTTATTAAGTCCAACCAGACCACTTAATAAGCCTAGTCAACTTGCACCACTTAATTAAGGCCTTAATATATAATATACAATATATATTATAAGGGAAAATCTTACATTCTCCCACTTGGTGCAAGTACTAGCACAACCTTCATCAAAGAACAAAACACACGAATCATAGTGACATGTCCTCTATTTAATCAGGGTAGTGTCCATTATGGTCACGTGCATTTTAATTCTCCAACTTTGGTCCTTAATGAACAAACCCTATGTTTATTCTCGGTACCTTAAGGGATGTTTCTAAAATACATTATGTGCACAACTGAAGGAGAAAACGCATCCAAATTGTACAAAAGAGTACACTGTATGATCTCTAAAACTTTATAAGCATGCTTTAAGTAGAGATCTCTTAATGTTAGCATAATGCTAACTATATTCCATGACTTCTTTATAAGTTAACTTTAAGTACTATCTCTAACAGCTAAGAGCTTGGAGTTGACACGTCTGTCACTCCCATTCATCAAAAATAGCCAAAAGATAGTCAAGTCACAGAAGCATTCCAATAACTTAGACAATAAACCAAAGATCTAAGTCTATAAATTTGGAATCTTAATCATACACCATAACTTCCCAAATAACTTCAATGTTCATTTTAAATGAACTGAACATAACGAGTGTTACTTATATGTCCCACAAAATTGTTTTGAGCCCTACAAACCAAAATGGCCTAGGATTAATTTTGAAGAAACTAAAGACTCTATTAATCACTGAAGAATTTATTAAATTATAGTGCACCACAAGTCAAATGCTTTTGTTCTAATAAATTACTTAATATTGTTGCAACATTTTCATAAATATGTTGTACAACCAAATGTTCAATAATTTGAACTTATGAATTTATATAAACAAATACAAAATTAATACTTGTGGAATCATATGGACTTATTGTTTGACATACAATCAAATTTAGGATGTATGAAGCCATTTAAATCCATAAACTTTAGTGGAGTAACTTAATGATCTTTTTCTAAATGATCACTCCCACTGATTAAAACATTCTTCAGCAAAATTAATAAAATGAACTTAATAATATACATACTCATAATTGATTTATTGACCAACTAACAAATGAAGACATTTCGGGGGGCCATGGCGTAGCTACCAGAGGATAAGGGTCCGAATCGCGGTGGATGTTCATCTGAAACGCCGCCTGAAACTTTGCCGCAAGGATGGATCGACACAATGGATCACCTTCAAATATGAGCGCCTCGGTACCTTTTGCTTTTGCTGCGGGGTGCTTGGCCATTCTGATAAATTCTGCAAACGAGTCTACAACGAAGGTCTGGAGCCGGAATCCTTCCCGTATGGCGCCTGGATGCGTGCGGATTCCCGTCACCAGGCGAAACCTGTAGGGGCAAGATGGCTACTCCCGACAATATCCCAGCTTGTCCATGCGACTCCAAGCGACGTTCCCCCAGCCCCCACGATTAGCCTGACAGAGGAGGAAGAAAATGGGGCCTTACATGGTGACCTGAAGCGCCGTAGAGAGGACACTGAACGATCGCAGGATCTGGTTATGGAGGACAACTCAGCAAATTCATCTTCAGCGGGTCTGGCGGTCCAGATCCGCCCAGCTCAATGAGTACATTAAGCTGGAACTGCCGGGGGTGGGTAGCGACCGGACAGTTCAAGAACTCCTGGGCTTTGTGTCCAGGAAGCGACCCAGCTTCGTTTTTCTTATGGAAACGAAGGCGTTATTGTGGCAGGTTGAAAGTGTGAAACCGAAGTTAGGTTTTGAAGGTATGTTGTGTGTTGAACGTACAGGGATGGGTGGAGGGCTCGCGCTGTTTTGGCGAGACGCAGGGATGGCCACGTTATTGAGTTACTCGGACAATCACATAGATGTTATTGTGTCGCTTCCAAACAGACCTGAATGGCGACTAACATGCTTCTATGGATATCCGGATAGAACGGACCGTCACTTATCATGGGATCTTCTCTGACATCTGAAGACGCAGTCGAATTTACCGTGGTGTGTCATTGGAGACTTTAATGACATCCAATGCCAGTCGGAGAAATGGGGAACTCATTCCCATCCGACGGCACTCATTGACGCATTTAACGACGCGTTGGACGATTGCAGGCTTGTTGATCTGGGCATGGTAGGCAGCCCTTTCACATGGAATAAGGGGCGTGGCACAGACGCTTGGGTGGAAGAGCGGCTCGATAGGGCGGTTGCTTCTACGGAATGGTTAGATATGTTTGAAAATGCGATGGTTTACAATATTTTGGCTTTGTCCTCGGACCATGCGGCTATCTTACTGGATTTAGAGGTTCGAGAGGTGCGGGTGGCCAAGAAAGCGTTCAAGTTTGAGTCTGCGTGGCTTTCAGAGGAGGGATGTGGCAAAGTGGTAGACACTACTTGGCGTAGCACAATCGGAATGGATTTTCAGAAACGGATTGACATATGTGGACGACACCTGGGGAAGTGGGGCGGGGAATTTTTTCGTCGTTTTGGTAATCGCATACAGCTTCTGCGTACCAGAATGGAGATGCTCAGGGATTCGCGAACTCAGCAGGATGTGACAGAATTTCTGACAACCGAAAAAGAATTACGCGCACTTCTTCGACAAGAAGAACTGTTCTGGAAGCAAAGGGCCAAGCAGCTATGGTTAAAACATGGTGATCTAAACACCAAATATTTTCACAAATCAGCCATAGCCCGCCGTCGGTCGAATCTTTTACTCCGAGTAAAAACGCCGGATAACACTTGGGTGGAAGGCCCGGAGATGCATGCAGAAGTGATGAGGTACTACAACCATATCTTTCTTTCAGAGGGTACACAAGCTGATATTTTTAATAAGATGCCAGCACGAGTTACTGATGAGATGAATGCCTCTTTACTCCAACCATTTTCTTTGGCGGAAGTCAAAGAAGCACTGTTCTCGATGGCACCAGAGAAGGCCCCAGGCCCGGACGGTATGACACCCGCTTTTTACCAACGATTTTGGCCGATACTAGGCCATGATTTGTACATTTTTATCATGAATTGCATAACAAGTAGAACCCTACCACAGTGTCTAAATGACTCCAATATCGTGCTAATCCCTAAGAAAAAGGTACCCGAAAGGGTTTCTGACCTGTGCCCAATTGCTCTTTGCAATGTGGCATATAAGGTTCTGGCTAAGATGGTAGCCAACCGACTTAAAGAGGTTTTAGAAGCAGTCGTCTCGGCGTCCCAGAGCGCTTTTATACCGAACAGGTTACTAACTGACAATGTTATTGTAGCCGGGGAAGTGGGCCACTTCCTACGACGCAAAACTGCTGGAATTATGGGTTGGACTGCTCTAAAACTCGACATGGCTAAGGCCTATGATCGAATGGAATGGGGTTTTCTCGAGGGAATGTTGAACGCTTTGGGATTTGCTAAGGAATGGACAGAGTTGCTGATGATGTGTGTGACGTCGGTCCGATATGCCATCCAGGTGAATGGCGAAAAGGTAGGGACAGTCTATCCTACGAGGGGTATCCGTCAAAGGGACCCATTATCCCCATATTTGTTTATCCTGTGTGCTGAAGGCCTTTCTATCCTTTTGCAACAGGCTGAAGCCCGGGGGGATATACACGGGATAAGGGTGGCCAGGGGGGCCCCACCTGTCTCACACCTCTTTTTCGCGGATGACAGTCTCCTATTCTTCCGGGCTGTGGAATCAAGCAATTCACATACAGGGTTGCTTGAATACCTATAGTGCTGCGTCGGGTCAGGTAATTAACTATGATAAGTCAAATGTTATGTTCAGTTCAAATACTCAAGCTGAAGTACAAACTGTGGTGTCCACTACTCTGGGTGTCCTTGTAACGACTGATTTGGGGCGTTATCTAGGACTCCCATCGGTCTTAGGCCGCAATAAAACGGCCACCTTCAGGTATATTGAACAAAGAATTCGGGAAAGAATAGGGGGTTGGCAACAGAGATTTTTATCTAGGGCAGGTAAGGAGGTGCTACTGAAAAGTCAGGGCCGGTCCTATCATTTTATAGGCCCGGGGCAGGACAAAAAAATGGGCCCCGATTAATATATATTTCATGCCTAAAATTTAAATTAAATAAGGAAAAATTATGAATATCAATAACTTTAAATAAGATTAACACGTTTTTAACAATTTTACATACACAATAATAATCATTGAAAAAAATTCTAGGTGCTTTCCTTAATGCAAAATAATAAATAATCGTATAAGTGCCTTCATAAATAAATAATTATTATATTTTATAAAGATGAATAAATAATTTAAAATTGAGTAAACTTATAAACAATAACATTGTTATCATAATTAATAACAAATTAATTATTATTAAAAATTTATAAAACAATAATTACAAACATATGTGAACCTACCAAGACTATGTGGTCTAATGGTATCCAGGTTGAATTTTCATTTGGAAGATTGTGAGTTCAAGCCTTAGTGGAGGTGT